AAAATAATTCTTAAGTCTCAGTATTTCAAAAATTCAGGTCAACTTCATACTTACTGAGGACTATTCAATAAATCTTGCAATCGTAGAAAACATGCAATATGCTATTGTGAGGTGGCTGGAGTTGTTTGCAATCTGTCGAAGGAGTGTCAATAAGTATAACGCGTGAAAGATCGTGAAGCGTGTCTCTAACACTTTCTCAGGCGTCGCAGTCGTCTCATCATCATTACCATCGTCATCTGTGCAACTTCAAACGTCTGAGTATCTGTGAGTCGCGTAGCGAACAAAGCCGGTCTCTGTTGCATTTACCGCCCACGTTGTTTTCCCGTGGAAAGGATTACTTGATTAGCATTCGCGGTACATAAATGATGCGACAGGCTCTGATCTCGGGAAATCATGGAACATCCTTGAATTCAGTTTTCCTTCGTCGAGACAAACAGCAGTTGAAATGATTTAATAATGAATATAAAATTTTCTCAGTTAATAGTCTGATTCAGTCTCGATTTTAATCTTTCAAAAAATTTCTTTTTATTTCTTGAGGCGTCTTAAGATATCTGGATTAAGCTTCAAGGAAATCTTAGCGGCAGTTTGAAGCACGCCCGAACCTTAAGGATGCCCACTTCAATTAGGAGGCTCTATTCCTAAGCACGTAGAAATTTTCCCAAAGACCCCGGTGCTGTTTGAGGATTTCCAGACGCCACTTGCTGCGGGCCGACAATGAACAACTTTTCTTCCGGAGCGAAACGAAACGCGATAACAAAGAGAGGCTGCCAGTCTTCTTCGTGGAATTCTCTTTGCCGAGATGCTCCCCAGACCTCCTACGCGGTCTCGGACGAGGGTAGAACTCATACCGATACTCGCCGGACAATTGTTTTCAACCATTCATCCTGTTCTCTCCTTTTCCTTGACGAGTTCTGCGTTTTGTCACTGTTTTCCCAGGCTGTATGGGAAGTTCATGAACTTTCATATGTAAATATACGTATTTGTTGTTCGTAGTCACTGTAGACATTTGCGTGCGAAATTGTTTAAACATTTTATGTGCCTTATTAGATTTTTTATTTGACAAATGCAGGAAAAGTGAAGTCAAATTTCATTGACACCCGGATTTCCTGAGTGAGTCTAACTCCTGATTAATATTAATGCATTCGCACGTCCATTCACTAGTAAAGCTTCGATTCACACGGTCACAAAGGAACACGCAAATCGCGGGAGGCTAAACAGAAAAATTGGTGGCAGATACGGATCGACAGAGCCTCAGGGCGCGGTGAAAAAAGAAAGGAAAGAGGGGAAACGGGCGGCGGAGAAAGAGGTTCCCAAAATTACTCATTCGTTCCCGAATCAAATTGCGTAACAATCTACTACGCGGCATCGTAGCGTAACGTAAAACGTTGTCGGTGTCGTGACGGGTCCCACTTTCCTCCCTTCCTCCCGTTTCTCGTTTACATGTTCGTATACACTGGCCGCCGTCCCCTTTCCGCTCCCCGGCCCTTGAAGTACCGTCTCCCTCTCCCTGTTTTACAACTGACCCCAGGCCTCTCACCCACGCCGTAGTAAAAATGGCCGCGTGTCTATATTATACTAAACAATGCCATGTATAAAAATAATCATTACAGAAATAATCAAACTTATGCATTTCCGTGCACTTAATAATATTTAAAAAAAGTGAAGAACCATTAATTTATTAAACTACAACTTGTTTTTACACAATCCTTTAAAAGGTTTATCGTTGGGTGTATAATTTCCTAAACAAACTCGAAAGGTACAAACAGTTTTTTATCTGAAGAAGGGAGGAAAATTTGTGGAAGGTAAAAAAAAGAAGGAGGTGCAACGGACAAAGGTCCCGAAGGTACGATCGTTCGTATTCCTGTGGACCTCCAGTTCTCGCATTCACTATAGCTCTTGCTACAGCTCGTTGGGTCCGTTCGCGAGTCCCCCCGGTTCCTTACCTGTCCGCAGGAGTCCCACGAGCGCTGGCATCGGCGCGGCGCGGTCCCAGCCCTGGGCATTGTTGCATCGACGCCCGGCTAAGAACGTACATACTCCTCGCATTGCGCGCAACCCTCGCGCGTCCTCGCGTCAGTGTCCGTTCGAAAACTGTCAGCCACCGGCGCGAATCATGACGAACAGTGCCAGCGCAACGAAATCGTCGATAGTGGACCGCGGATGATCGCTGAATCGCTGTGAAACAGTGAGACGAGGTTTAGAGCGTCGACGCCGCGGTTCGAAAGAAGTAGTGCCCGTGTCGTTGGCAAAGGAGCCGAGGAAGGATGAAGCAGGAGCAGAGGCCAAGGAGGCAAGCCCTCTTCCAGATCGCCAAGGTTTGCATTCCTCTCCTCGCGTCTGTCTGATAATTAATCTTGTACACGTTAAGAATTCCCTCTTCTTCTGCGGTTCGATACGCTAGAATAACGCGTATACCGTTACCGTGCATTTCGATCCCGAGGCTGTACCTGTTGATTCAACCGTGCTCATTTAAATCACGCCGTCTTCGCACCGCATCAATTTTTATCAATTATTAGACACTTCGATGAATGATCAGATATTTTTAAACGATTTCTCTAAATTGTACAGAAATACTTCTTACTTTATTTCTTCTTATTTCTTATTTTAATCTACTTTTATAGTTCGCACTTCTCCTGATCAGACGTCCGCATTTTTTATAAACTTTCAAACGACATTTTATGCACGTTGCGTAACAATCTACTTGGAGAATTTAAGCTTGTCTCGGTTCATACATGGCGTTGGCATGTGTGGACGACGCCTGAAATGGAGAAAACTCGCTTTGGCACGCATTTAATCGAGCCCTGCAATTTGAAAGGAATGGGCAGTTAATGCCATGCTTTATGGACAACATACGTAAATACACGTACAACATAATTCTATGAATACAAAAATGCACGTAGCAACTTGTATTTATTATAAGCACACGTACAATAATAATGCAGAAATGATTTGTTGAGTGTTTCTTGAGTAACGGATTTTCCTCTCGTTTTTCCCGCGGCGTTGAATGAAAATCTGGAGCAGACGCGATCGAACCGCGACAAGCTTTTCCATCCGCTCGTACACATTTTCCCGATTAATGCGCCTCGCATGGAAATGTGCGAGAAATTGTCGGGTAACGTATGCAAATCGGATAGCTCGGTGGGAAACGAGCCACTTTCGCGATGAAGTGAAGTAAACGCGTTCAGCTCCGTGTGAAGAGTTGGGTCTTTTTTCTGCGAGGGGTCAAGGGAACCGGGTGAGAAAAAGTAACATTGCGACTTAAGTACTACTGATTTACATCCATGATAAATGAGAATGTCTACTAATTATTATTACATATTGCATAACATAGAATGTATTGATTTGTCCTTAAGGATGTATTGGCTATACAGTCAATCCCTAAAGTTTATGTACTTTAGAAAAATGCATTTCCTATAATTAAAAAGAAATCAGACGTCGGAAGAACAATGCTAATAATAAATAGCTAC